CCTGTTCATTCTGAATGTGCCACTAATAGAAATTCATTGTTTGCCTGCTGTGGGATGCTACTGCTAGCATTTAGAAAAAGTAGAAAAGTGATGAATGAACAAAATAAATAAGAGCACAAAATTAGTTTAGATTATTTTTATTCCTAGGAGTAGAACACAACTTAGAGTGTTAGWTCCTGTCACAAGACAGTTGAATTATATGGTGTTAAACTCTTTATCTTGTGATGTTTAATACTGTAACCGTGAGGAAAGAGTCCAGGTGCAAATGATATCCCACTGTAATAAATTCCATGTAAGAAAATGTAGRTAAAATATAAATTATGCTTCTGGACTAAAAATGTACAGCATAAAGATATCTGTTATCTCACTTTTGTTCCTAGGCATTGTTAACCATCCTAGGAATTTGTTGCTCACGTGTGTGTGACTGAAAACTTCTTGGGATTTTCAGAGATATTCTGTATCGGCTCCAAGAGGGATAAAAATGAGGGAAAACAGTGAGAGCTTTGTGGACTGGACATGGGAGAATCAAAATAAAGGAACTGATATGGCTTGTTCTCACATGTGGCCARCTCTCATTTGGTGAGAGAAAACTAAGCTGGCTAGATAGTCTGCAGTGCTTCTGCATTAGTGATATTTGGGTTTATGTTTAAAATGCAATTAGTCACAACACTGTGGATTCTCCAAACTAAAAGAAATACAACATTTGGCTGGGAAGGGCCCTGATGTGTTTTTGAAGTTAAGACCTAATGACTGCCAGCTGCCCATTCCAACACAAGTTACTCTCTAACTCTTCAGGAGAACTTCAGGAGACCAATTTTTACAAATAACTCACTTTGTTCAGCCGAGCAATATTACTTGCATTTTATGTATTAGAACAGTTAGTACTGGAATAAACAGTAAGGCCTCAAGTCAAATTCTATCATCTCAATGGAATTATCTTCCCATTGTAAGACTTCAAGAGAGTGAGCAAGTGTGGTCTTGTATCAGCACAACTCACTAATCCWTTGAATTAATTTTGTCTCTTTGCATGCTTGAAATTACAAATATGAATGGGGTGTGGTGGTAGAGCAATAAAAGCATCTAATGACAGATCCTAAAGCTGGGAGTATAAGCCTTCTTCCRTACTTGAGCTGAAAGACATTCATTCTGTGGGTAAACAAGAGCATAATCCACTTGTGCTTCATGGCRCAGCAAAAAGCTGAAATCTCTAGGACATGGTGCTATTTTGCTTCTTTGAAGATGGAGAGAAGCTGTAGCCTCATCCATTGGCACAAAGGAGAGGATTTGTTCCATGCTGAGTAATGGAGGCCTGATACCTGACACACAACTTGGGTTAGATCCAAGCTTTAGGGGCCTGTGCTTTAGGTGCCTGTTATTACAGAAGCTGCAGTACCTCAGCTGTGGAAGGCTGTTGAAATTTTTAGCATTCAGACAAATATTTCTCTGCTTGGGATCTGACAACTYCAGCATCCATTCCTTAATGGGGTTATGATTTGCCAAATTCCAAAATGGTTTCGGAAAACAGGACTGTGAATATGTGGGCTATTTTTTTTTTTTTTTTTTTTAGGGAAGCAGCTACTGAGGACAAGAATTGCTTGGTGCTGTGCTGGCAGCTGAAGTCAACAGAAATCAGGAGGCAGCACTGAAAATGTCTGCCTATGTGCAGAAGAAGATGTACYTCTAAGTGTCTTCTGTTTGTGAAGAAGCGTGCTGTAATTGATAAAARCTAAAACAGCCTGGAAATAATGCAGTTTTAGAACAAATCTGCTGAAAATGAAGTGTCTTTAGGAATTTAGGTGGCCTATTTCCATGACCAGATCAACAGAAACTCTAGGACAATAGCAAACACATTATTGGCTCTCTTGCAATAAATTTCCCCATTTGTTATCTCTYGATCAGCAATCAACTAAGATAAAGGAAAGTGAAGGAATACCTTTGAACTATTTACACACCAGGGAAGGTGWTGTCATCATGTTATCTTTGTTCTTTTGCGAGATCCGGTTTGCTACTAGCAAGTCMTGTCCCCAAAGTCCTGCCAAAGTATGTGTTATTTTGGAGGATGGAGCAGGGGAAACCACAACAAGTAGAACAAGCAAAATTCTGTGTGTTGGAACTGAAAAAAGCATTCCACCACAATCCACCCAGCACCAGTGATACTCTGTACTGGCATCAGGAAAGAGCATAGGCTTCTTTCAGTAACTGCACCCACCAAAGTCTTCCACTTTCCTGGTACTTCTCTGTTACAGCTCCTCACAGTTCTGCTTCCTTTCTTCCTTCAGTGACAAAGAGATGAATAATTAATTCCAGGGAAAAACTATAACTTGCCATAGACATCCCATCTCCTAGCATGATTAATGTCTTTAGTTTCTGAATAAGAGCCCGTAAAGCTTTGTAAACACACCACAAAGATAAATAAAAACTCCTTCCCATTTCCCATTCCCTGGTGTTCTCTGAGGTAGTGCTGTGTCACAATGCCATGTAGATTCTGCACATATCCAGCTGCCTTCCAAACTGCTTATCAGCTCCTGTTTCAGAGAAACTGGATGAATCATGTTTTGTGTGGGAAGTCTTATATCTGACTAGTTTGAGATGCATGGGGAGTATGGGTCACACTAGTCCCTTCCTGGCAGAAAATTAATGTCAATATTGCATCTTAACTCAGATTTAAGACAGACTCATTTCTCATCTCTATGAAATCAATGAACCAACTCAGGTAGAAGAATCATAGAAACAGAATATTTCAAGTTGRAAGGGACCCATAAYGCTCATCGAGTCCAACTCCCTGTTCCTCACAGGACCATCTATAAAAAAACCCCATGACTGAGAGCATTGTCCAGATACTCCTTGAACTCTGACAGGCATAACACCATGACCACTTCCCTSGGAAAGCCTGTTCCAGTGACTAACCCTCTGGATTAAGAAACTTTTCCTGCTGTCCAATCTGAAATTCCCTTGATGAAGCTTCATTCCATTTCCTCATGCCTTTGCTGGTGACCAGAGAGAAGAGATCRACACCTCYCCCTCCCCTGCTTCCCCTGAGGAAGCTATAGGCTGAGATGGGGTCACCCCTCAGCCTTCTCTTCTCCAAGCTGAACAAGTCAAGTGATCTCCATCACTCCTTGTAAGTCTTGCCTTGAGAGCTTTCACCATTTTGGTCACCTTCTGTGTTGGTTTTGCTTGACCCAGTTTTTGGTTAATAGGTGGCCACAAAAATGACTCTTGTGAGAAGCTTCTGGAAGCTTCCACCAGGTCCAGCACAGCCAGTCTCTGACGGTTCTGAAGATGGACATGGCTGCTGCCCAAGCCTGGGCCAATTTGAGAGTTTGATTACGCCTCTGTGTTGACTTATTTTAGAAGACAATCAAAACAAAGGTGGCACTGAGTTTTCTTTATCCAGAGAAAAGGGGAGGTGAGAATCTGTGAGGAAMAGCATGGAGACACCAAGGTCAGTGGAAAAGGAGGGGGATGAGGAGGAGCCAAGAATCCTCTGCAAGCTGTGCTGAAGACCATGGTGGAGCAGGCTGTCCCCCTGCAGCTCATGGAGTCCMTGAGAGATGCAGAGAGAGAGGGCCCTTGCTTCCAGGCTGGAGCAGCCTRTCCTTGGAGGACTGCATCCTGTGGATGAGTGATCCATGCTGCAGCAATTTTRGGAGGATCATGAAATTTGGACTACGCTGGAGGAGTTTACAGGAATTGCCTCCTGTGGGAGGAACCCCACAGGAAAGCAGAAGAAACTCTTCTCTCTCTGAATAATGGAAGATCCYGGAATGAACTGACCAAAACCCCCACGCCCTGTTCCCTCCACTGTCAGTGGGAAGGAGGGAGGGGGTTTGGGGGGAAGAGTAATGTCTTTAAAGGTTTATTTTACTTCTCATTATCTTCCTCTGTCTCAGTTAGTAATAAATTCACTTTGTAATTTCAAGTTAAGCCTGTTTTCCAATTCCCTATCTTSACTCATGAACCCTTTGTTAATTTTTTTTCCCTCTCCTCTGCCCAGCTGTGGCAGGGGAGAGTGAGTGGGTAGCTGTTGTGGGTGCCTGGTATCTGGCCACGACAATTCCTCTGGGCACACTCCAGTAGTGTGATGTCCTTATATTGTGATGCCCAAAACTGCACACAGGACTCGAGGTGAGGCCACCTCGAGAGAGGTGAGTGGGACAATCCCCTCCCCTGCCCAGCTGGTCATGCTGTGCCTGATGCCCCCTGGGACACAGTTAGTCCTTCTGGCTGCCAAGACACTGTTGACTCACGTTCAACTTTCCATCCACCCAAAGCCCCAGATTTGTATTCATAACCAGGATTACCCTGTTCCAGATGCACTTTAAATACTCCAAATAAAATGGATTTGCTTAAATATGTTTTTATTATGTTTAGAGGGGCAAAAGAGTACATCTACAAGACCCATTATATATAGGGATACAAGGARAAAATTTGAATAGCAACTTGCCATATTTGGTCATGGTGATTGAGGTGAAGAGATTTAAGGAGAAATATAAATTATGAGATTCCTATAATGCATCTGTAGAAAGTGAGGGAGAGCCTTGCAGTATCGGGAGCAGAAAGAAAAATAAATTGCTTTATCAGAGTAGATATGCTTGGTGGTAGTTTAGAGTTTCATCTGGGAATTTTTGAGGGACTAATTCTAGAGTAGTCACCACAAAATTTGTCCTTAGAYAAACCTGGCTTAGTTAGAAGACTGTCTTTTATTCCCATAAAACTTCTGCTGTTAAAAGGCATTGTGTTTTCCAATGTGATGATTCGACACTATTATTGTTAACTTGTACCAGGAACATCTCTGTTAATGCTCATTGCTTTCCTTGGTTAGATTTTCATTCCCTTAACTTCATCCATGAGTAAATAATAATACTCTGTAGAAAGGTAAGGCAAAGGGCCTCTGTTTTCATGGCGTAATTTCTCTGCCTTAACTTCTTTCTTTYTTTTTTTYYYTKTWWTWWTTTTTTTTAATAAAACCTTCTGGTKTTAGCAAATRTGGRTGAAAGAGRGTTTGTGTTTCTTTTTACCCATGATACTGCAGGACTTTGGGTCTTGCTGTGAGGGACAGAAACTCTTTTAGCTTTCCTCTCTTTAAGGAAAAAAGCATCTGCCAAAGAACAAGATGCTGTCGCTTGGGTTGTGTTTGATCAAGTAGAGGAAAGGGTGGTCAGCCCTAAACTCTTCAGAGACACTTGTGTCTTCCACCCCAGCTCCTGATGAGCCTGCCACCTTACTGCCTGCTTCATAGATTTCCACAAATGTCTCATGGAAGGCTCCAGACACCTTCAAGCCCTCTGCTGAAGAGATGCCTGAGAGATTGGCTGATGGGCTGAACAGGTCAGTGATACCCAAGGATTTTAAGACAGATGTAAGGTTGTACTTTTCTTCAATCTTCATGCGTGGGAGATAAACTTTAATTTTCCTCTCTTCCATCTTACTAGAGCTGGTCCACTCCTTCAGATTTTCAAAGGTGATAGCGGTCTCAAGCTGCAAGGAAACAAACAAATTAGATCTCTGGGATGAGAGCACAACTTCTTTTRTGGCAATGCAGTACCATTTGTGCTTTTTTTCTCTTAAATTGTCATGGTTTATTTTCTGGGTATATACAGTTTCATGAGGAAAAGGAAAGCAAACCATGACTTTCTCTTCTCTCTCCTGCTTCCTGTTTCTTTAATAGGCTCACTGCCAATTCATTTCCTTAGTGAGATGGCTACTGAGCAAATTTTGCCAAAGATCTTGCCTATTTRTCTTCTTTTCTTTAGAAATATGTTCCAAAAGTCATTCTGTGCTTATGAGTAAGCTCTAACCACATTTAGGACATCCAAGTAAGAAAGTGTTAAAGATAACCAATTACAATACGTGAGCTATTTAGAGGCATTTGAACACAGCTAAATATCTTCTAGTAATAAATGAGCTAATAATTATTACTGAAGAAATTTAGCTGTGTTCAAATTACTCTTTATTTTTATAATTAGTTATTTTTATGAGTTAATGTTAATGTTAATCACTTCAATGAACTTGGATTTATTACATAACTTTTTCYATTCAAACTGCATTCCTGCTAATGGCAATATCCCATGCTTGTATTCTGTTGATATCAATAACAATATGTCATGTACATTTTACTTTCTGAAATTGCTTTATCCATTCCATAACACTSATATTTAGTTTTTGGAGATTTTAATTTTTGAGGGTATGAAGGAAGCATGTTGAAGACTGTCAGACCAGTCAATAATTACAAATGCTYAAGCTAACATGAACTTCCCAGGAAGTTCTTCTGTATGCAGGAATTGAGRTATAAAAGCTTTGGAGCTCAAGCAGCTGGAGTAACAGCTGCTAATCTAAGAATCTATTCTGCAGTGACAAAAATTTAACCCATTAAAGTTGTTGTTAGCAATCCACCCTCAGCACAAACTTTTGCAGGACTACGGAGACAGCTGCATGCCTTTTTACAACAATATTCATATCTCTGCTGGTGRTATACTTTAAGATAACTTCATTGTGAAGAGTTTTTCAGCACCTAAATTTCACCATGTTTATGGTTTTCTGAAACACAGCTACCAGGGCCATACCTGCTCCAGGCCAGAGATTTCATCAGGCAACAGCACCCACAGGCTCAGCCGTCCACTGGCATAGGGAATCTCCAGGATCCTACATTTCTCAGAAGTGATCTCTGCCACTTTAAATGTACCAATCTGAGACATCATCTGCACAGGTTTGCTTTCTTGCTGCAAAACCAAAGAAAATAATACAGTTTTCACAAAGATTATTCCTAGAGTGTAGAAATGTCTAATAATGGTTAAAACTGAAAATGGCTCTTTTTTGGGAAGATTGCACAACTTTTCTCCCTTCATAAATTCTAGAAAGCACTTCTAAAGTCGTACATGCCCACATACCTCAGTAATTCTGAAAGGAACTGTCTGGGTGTCTTCTTCCTTAAACGCTTTCTCCCACAGTCCTTTGAAGTAAATGGCACTGACAAGGACCATGTCAGTTTGTGCACTCACAGAGCTTGGTTGAAGGATATTTTTGATCGTTCCTTTAAGAATGCATAGGAAAAGAGAACATGTATAACACTCCTGTGTATAACACATCTTACTTGGCAATTACAGGATTAAATGCAGGGTAAAGAATTTGTGGGAAGGAGGGTGTAGGCCAGGGATATTGCTTTGGGTTTGGAGCTGTTATCTTGTAGTTCCAAGGTTGATTTGATCACTGCTCTTGGCAAAAGCTGTTGTTTCTCTCCCTAGAAAGAATTATAGTGRGAGATATAAGATCCAGAAGTCTACTTGTTACAATATGGGTATGTTGTGTGACAACCTTTGGAACCTTTTATTCCAGGATGGTCTCCCAACCAAACATTTAATACTTTTTGCTTCAAACAAAAGTTGAAACTTTGATGTCAAACAATTTGTCGATGCATACAAAGCATATTTTTGTGCTGTCCCTATTATCTGGAAGTATTACATATCCACAAAGCCTCTACAGATAGAGTCATCTAACAGGGATGTGTCTGAGGAAAAAATAAAATCGTTAGATGGTGGTTCTGTATGTAGAAACTGATCTATTATCCAGGAGAAGGAGCAGAGGGAGAGGTTTTGGTTTTTCATCACCTGACTTAAGTATTCTCATATGTTGTTCAAACATGGTGGCAGAAARGAAAATACCTACGCTGATAGCTGGCTTCTTCTTACCATTTGTCTGACTTTCAACCCAGGAATTTATGATCTCTCTGGCTTTTTCTGCAGCTGTTTGAAAGTTGATAGGCTCCAAGCCTCCTTTATACAGTTCCTTCACACATTGTRCATATTCCTGCAAAGGAAGAGTATGGTGTTTTCAGATCAGAATGTCARAGCATTTTGCAAGGGTAAAAGGCAAGAATGGAATCAGCAGACATGWGCAAACTACCTATTAAGGCTAATCAGTAAACCATGAGCATTAGTTCATAAGCATCTTAAGATCTGACATGCATTGTTTCAAACAAGAGAGTATATGCCCCCATTTAAAAAAAAAAGTATTTTCCAGAACTGARTTTGATCTAAAACCAGCATTCATTTCAGTTAAGTATGGGGTTGGTTTTTTTTTTTCATTTTGCCCACTTCTAAAATTTTTATTCTGCAGTGGTGTTCTCCTTTAATTTCAAATTAAATGGAAAACCTTTCAATGGAAAACCTTTCAATATTTTTGGAAACCTGAAGTTATTTTTCAGGTTTGTTTTGCAAGTTAAGAAAAGAATTGCAGTTAACTCTTGCCAACAAAAATTACCTTTATTAATTATAGCTTGACTTGATTGCATCTTTATTGTACTTTGCACAAACATCTTTTGGCTAGTCACATTTTTTTCCTCAAGGCTTTCAAGGGTTAGGACTGTGATAGAATCTTTCCATATGGAAGAAATTTTCTCTAGCAGAACCTAGACTTCTGACAGAGCTTTTTATATTACAGAAAGTTACAGCTTTGAGATTCAGATAAGATGTTAGAGCGACTCACCGGCAGGATTGGGTATTTCTCTTCAGCATAAAGCCTACTTGCAATGCTGATGGAATAATTGTCACTTGGTTTGGTGATTTGGGTGAAGATGTCCTTTAGTGAGGTGTGGATGCTCACGGATGTACCACACTGATTGACATGAATACAAACAAAAATATAGATTATGTTATGAGTAGATATTACACACTATATGAAAGGAATAGAGTAGTTCAGACTTTTCTGCTTATAAAACTGTTTATCCTGTGCTGATGTATTAATTTTGTAATAGATGCAATTCTGTGCCAGTTTTCTACTGTAATTTCTCATACATTTCTTGAGGGGACCTGCTACAGTAATCTAGCTCCAGCAGATCAGGTAGGCTTTCCTCTGTTCCCAACCAGTCTTGCCTAACCACACAAATATCTATAAATTCTCCATTTGCCCAATATTATGCTTGCTGTCAATCCTCTGTTAGCTACTTTCTTCATCCATTCTCATGAATGAAGTATTCCCCCAAATGCTGGATGAGGAGCATTAGCTGCACATTGGAGAGGGATTTGAACTGCTAAGAGACTGCTTTATCTGATAGTTTTTGTTCCCAGGAGAAACTGACATAGAGAAGGAGATGAAATTATTCCTGTACCTGAGATTCAGTACTCTCTCCAAATCCTGGGATTTTGTCCAAGTGGATAGCCTGTAATTAAGAATAGCAGTAGCTGAAATAACAGGTATGGCAAGAAAAAGGTTATGCAACTGAGATTAACACATAATGTTTGAAGCAAACCTATTAAATAACTGAGAAATTCAATGACTCAAAAAGTGTAGTCTCTCTGTACCATCTCTGATTAGCTGTGCCTACTGTTGCCTACTTAGATATTTTYTTTCTATTGAATATCTAGGATTCAGCTCCACTTTGTGCTGCCARTGGTAACAACTTTCTTACAAGTGACAAACTGTCCACTCTCTATGAAGACAGTGAGAGCTTGGGAAACACATTAAACGCTTTGCAGTTTGGGTATATGTTTTGGCTCTTWCCCTACAAATTGTTTCTCCTTTCCCCATTCCAAACAAAAAGGACCACTAGAATGTGTTTTTGTCTTTGAGAATTCTACTGTTCACAATGATACAATTTAAATGCAATYTCAAGATTTCAGGCTGATTCATTTGTTTAACACTATGGGAATTTGAGGTGGCCACAGCTTTTTGATAACTCTGGATCCACATTTTTTAGCCTCTGAGGGACATTATCATATAAATAAGGGCTGTGGCTCTGTTGAGCAGTAGGAGGGTTTAAATCCTTAAATGTAGTCTCACCTTTTCTAKCTGAGCCTTGGTGTTATCTTTAGCTCCGATGTAGACCATGGAGAGGGTTGAAATGATGAGCAGAGGGGATAAGCAGACATTCTCCTGGACACCCTGGCTTCTCAGCTCCCTGAATATGTCACAACAAACTTCCGTGCTCACTGCTCCGATGGAGCCCATTGTGCAACAGTGTTGCCTAGAACAAAGAGCAGAAGTACAACAATGTAATAATGGTAATACCATACACACACAGCACACGCGCTTTAATAGAAGTTTTTAGGCAGTAAAATACGAACAAGTACTTTGGAAGTCATTCTATGTKAACATGTCTATTGCTATGCTCACTTCTCTTGCGTGTTAGGAACTCTGTTTTCACAAATTTATTTCCTTCTGCATTTCTATACATTTACCTTTTGTAACTGTTTCTCAGAGGTCTGGAATCTGTATGTGATTTGTGTTTACCTTTTCAAAGTAGTCAAACAATTGCCTGTACTTATTTTCATTCACTGAAGRCTAGAATTCCTTAGTACTTTGTAGTAGCATGATGAAAACAAGAAAATATTATCTCTTCGACATACTTGCAAAGCTGGAAATTTAAGCACAAATTATATTTGACTTGCTCTAGGTTTGGACAATTATAGGTAAAAGCAGAGGCTGGCTATTTTTATTTTCTAGAAATAACTAAGTGTAGTAAARTATCTATTTGTGGCACAGTACTTACTGTCGGTAGATCTTCAAAGACCCATTGCCCTACCCATGTTTTAGTAATGGAAGTATGGATAGGCAATATAATTCATCTAAGGTCACCTAGTCCAGTTGCAAGACTGATGCACAAAAATTCATGTTTCACAGTATTGTGCTTTTAGATACAGCTTGTTTTGCTTAAATATGCTACACTRTAACCTGTCTGAGAAATTAAATTGTTGTTTTTCAAAATTCAGCTCCTTATGTAAGAGTCAAATGCTGGGATCTCGAGTTTCTCTTTGTAGGGTTAAACCCTAMCAAGGTATTTTGTGACTGGGCTCTTGGATATACACATGCAGACACACACATATTTCTCTCACTTTTCTCTCTGTATACATGTTCACATTTACAGGTTATTTAAAAATTRTACATCTGTACACCTATGCACATTTTTATGTTGTCTTGTGTTCAACTGTAYTTTTCAGGGATGCAACTGTTACTGAAATTTTACACTAAAATAAACATAGCAAAGTCACTGAATGYCACAGTTCCTTTCCCAATGCACTCTTTAGAACCAAAAATCAACTAAGTAAACTTATTACTTATCTGTCAAAATCAAGCTTAAAAGATACTGAATGGGAGGATAAGATGGTCTGAAATAAAATCATGTTTTGAGCACAAAACAATATTTTAAGCACAAAGAATAACATCAAATATATCCCAAAACCCCAAATATTCAGATTTCATACATAATAAAGTAGTGAAGCATGAATATACACAGGTGAGATTTGTAGAGAATATAATGTATATATTCTGTCCTGGAAAATACCAAGCACAAAACAGTAATTTCTCTCTTTTAAAGTTTAGTCATAAACAAGAAATAATGCAGTGAGAAGGCAAATTTTCCTGGAGAAATGCTTACCTTCAAGCTTTAGCACCAAAGACAATACAGCTCTTCAGCTGTATGTAGGAATACTGSCTGAGCCCTTGGGAATTTATACAGTCTGAATTGTGTCCCACCCATTGCTGTCCTTCAAAAGTTTGACTTTTGACACCATAAAAATAAAATAATGGTATTTGGTCAGTTTTTTTGTTTCAAAGGTTTCGGGTTTGATTGAAARGAGAACAAATATTAGTTTTTTATTCTGTGTAACAGTGCTTTCCACCCATACATCAAGATCATTGGGCTGGAGAAAAGGCTAGGAAATAATGCCTCATTTGCARCTAGATAAGGAGATGACAGTAAAAACAATAAATGTGTAATGAACTTAGTGATGTCACAGATAATTAGCAGTTATTAGTCAATATGTCAATAATTATTCCATTTGTTATTATGTTTGTAGTAATAGACCAGAAATCTCTCTCAGTTGATCCTTTCTGAACGTACAAAATGCAGCCATGCTAAAAGAGAAGGACAGAACTTAGCCTTTCATTCTTCTAACAAGGGGAAATAAAAAGGGTACATGTGACAAATCCAACTGAGATGGAAGTCAAAAAGAGGAACATTTTCTTTGAGAACCTGGAATATTTGTGAAATATATTGGTATGAGTGTGGTTTTCTAGCAAAGTATTTTCTTCTCAGAGGTAAACAGCAAAACATAACTCTAGACAACATAAAARCCATCAGTTCCAAATGTATCTGTGTCTGTACTTGCAGTGTATCTCTCAGATCTTCCATGAGTAACTTGAAGGCCTGATAGATGATGGAGGAACTGTGAAATCCAGCGAGAGGAGGGTTCATGGTCTGTGGGACAACCATAATATACAATAGCAAATAAATTTCACGTTATAAAAGCATTTCACTTATAAAAGCTATTGTTCTGTATTGAAATAATAGAATGGACAAACAGTTAAGAAACCATCCTGACCTCTGCAAAGCACTGCGTGATTTCTAAAAGCAGGKGGAGGAGTGGGGTAAGAGAGCAGGGGGATCCAAAAGCTGTACAACATAAATCTTTAGAACATACAGGACATAAYTGTGATTTCTGTTACAAAGAGTAGGCTCCTGTACTGCTGTCAAAAGTTTAGGCAGTGCAGGGTTCTTTGCCTCAGTTCTGTTATCTTTTGTGAAAATAAATGTGCCAGATAAATCTACATTGCCCTTGATGAGTTGCAGTCTGTCASTGTGTAGCTCAGGAGGTGAGGTGGTAACACAAACATCAGGAGAGGTAGAAGTGCTTTCTAGGGCTAGGGAGCTGGAATAAAGTCCAACATGTGATAAGACAGTGGGAGGTGGTRCCTGGACCCCAAGTCACAGGGTGTGTATTACACATTGCTTTTAAGCTTTGTGCCCATAAAATAGTGATTATCAGTCATCCTTAAAAGCTGATGATGAAAAAGCAGAAGACAACATGCYAAAGTGGGCATATGGCAGGGATGCTGAACTAGGAGGAGCTGCAGACTCCTTCGAAGCTCTTGGAAAGAAAGCTGGGTAGATTGGAGAGCTCAGCAATCACAAATGTATGAAGTTGAACAAGAGGAAGGGCAAGATTCTCCATCTGTGATGAGGTGATCCTGGTTGCAAGTACAAACTAGGGGATGAGAGGTTAAGAACAGCCCTGCATAAAGAGATCTGGGGGTTTGGGTCAGTGGCAAGTTGAATATGAGTCAAYAGTGTCCTGGTAGCCAAAACRGCCACCCACGTACTGGAGTGCATCAGCTGGTTGAGGGAAGGGATTGACCCTGCCAAAGGATGTTTAAYGTCCCTTGAAACCCAAACCGTTCTATGATTSTATGATTTTCYCACTCTGCTCTGTSCTGATGTSGCCCCACCTCAAGTCCTTTGTGCAGTTTTGGGCACCTCAATATAAGAAGGACGTCACAGTACAAGAGTGTGTACAGAGGARGGTGTCAAAGATGGTGAAAGGCCTCAAGGATAAAACTTACAGAATGTCTGAGGTCACTAGGCTTGTTCAGCTTGGAGAAGAGAAGGCTGAGGGGTGACCTCATCTCAGCCTATCACTTCCTCAGTATGGGCAGTGGAGGGGGAGATGTTGACCTTCCCTCTCTGRTGACCTGTGATRRGCCAYGAGGAAATGGAATGAARCTGCATCCAGGGAAGCTCAGATTGGACCCTGGGAAAAGGTTCTTCMTGCAGAGGGTRGTCAGTCACACCCTGAAACAGGCTYCCCAGGGAAGTGGTCACAGCACCAAATGTGTCAGAGCTCAGGGAGTGGACAATGGTCTTAGTCATATGGTTTATTATAGGTAGTTCTGCAAGGGGCAGAGAGCTGAACTCAATGATCCTTATAGTTCCCTTCCAACATAAGATACTCTGTGATTCTCCTAACCTGTGTGCCTTCACCTAACAAGCTGTTTTCTCACATTGTTTATAGTTCTTCTAGATTTATGCCACTATTTATCCTTTTTTTGTTCAGGGACACTTTGTGTTCACAGGTTTAGTTCTACTTCTACCACACTGATCTTCCATTGCTGCATGTAAGAGCTGGTCAGTGTATTTAAGTCAGTGAAATCTGTCTTTCAAATGTCSTTCAAGACTCTGCTGAACAATGATTCCCATTCCCTTAGTCTGGTCTATCATAGATGAATTATGGAAGTGTCCAGACCTGTGTCACAAGTCCAGCTCATCACATATGGACTGTATTTTAGAACTCATAAGCAGATTCAGGAAGCAGCTGCACTTTTGTGAGTGATCTTTTTTTTCACACCATCACACTGCAAGAATAGAATAAAAATTATCCCAGTGGTTCTTTATACTTGCTGACTATACTTCTGTGTAATGCCCTGGTTCCAGACCTGCAGAACAGCTTTGTATGTATTTGATTCAGACCTTTGTTTAMTGAGTTATACAAAAGTCATGTTTTCTCTTGAAGGATTGGAGTTTCAGGTTCAGAACATACCCACAATAAGCAAATACCTGGAGGATAATAAGGTCTGCTGTGATAATGTATGATAAAGTGATGCTGTGCTTTTTTGGCCTGATGTGGTTTTCTGTGCTCAGACTGGGAGTTAATGCAAGGCCAGTTTTAAGCAACAGAATATACCTAGGGCAAATTAAGAAATGGATCAGAGCAGATCATCAGCACAACATAACAGACAAATGTCTTGCAAAGTGTGCTTGACATGGGGTATAGAGAGAGTAAAAAACCTTCTCGCACTTGGAATACTTTCTGGGACAACTCGCAATGGCTTGTCCTGTCCAGCACAGCTGTGCAAATCATCATGAACAGTTGARTCACACATCCTTGTTTGACAATGCTTGTCCCAAGAAAGAGGTCAGTTAAGGCTCGGTTGACCTTTCCTCTGCCAGGCATTCCATTGTGGAACTGTCCCTAAACTAACAGAACCTTGAGGACCTGAGCTTTGGMCAACTGAGAGCATAAAAGGCACATCTTATCCAAAAGAATATGAAGTTCAGGTCAGCTCACAGACCAAAGCGTCTCATCCAATCACAGAAACGTACACAGAATTCAAGATTTTGTTCTGTCCTTGTTCCTCCTCTTTTGTCAATAGAAASGAGCATATTAATTGTTTTG